TCACTGCGCGTGAGTATTTGACGGTCAGAGGCCACGATCCTCCGCTCCAGCACCATTACATCGAACCGAAAGTTGTAGGCCCCCATGCACGACCCACGTCGCCGGATGAGGGAGCAGCAGGCCAAGAAGCTGAGCGAGGCCAGCAAGGCCAACTTCATGCACAGCTCCACGCTGCACCAATACAACCAGGTGCGCAACCAGGCCAAGCTCGAGATGTGCCGCGAGCTGGACAAGATGCCCATCGGAAGGATACAGTGAGTACTTCTTATTAGGGAACGAAATATTATAGTAAAAGTACATATTTGTTCATGTTGCTTATTTAAATTAGATATACAATCATATGATAAAATGCCATGCATGTTAAATTAAGTGAGTTAATATGAAACTATTTAACTTAATAGGCAAAATATGGGAATTAAAATGGATAGGTTTTGTATGGAATTAAATACAAATTTTTAAATAATAAAATAAATTGCTAAAATAGTCCAGTAAAATACTACTGTGTGACTAGCTTTGTTGCGTTAGAAAGAACTTTAAAATAAATCAAGTTAAATAAAATGTAGAGTACGCAAAAAAAGTTGTATATTTCTGTGATGAAGTGATGTACGAAATATAAATTAAAAAAGTAATTGAGTGTTTGTGTGCTTTGTACAAATGTTTTTCGTACATATAAAGTATACGATGTACAATTATAGTAGTTTACTGTATGCTTAGCATTTTGATGCTCAATACATATGTACAGCCTAAAATTGATTTATCATTTATATTATTTTCAGACTAACTAAAGTATTCCGAAGAAGCACACGCCTAACCCAGGATGAAATCGAGGAGGAGACCTTCCGGCGCAACATTAGCTCCTGCTGCCTGTTTTTTCGCATCCGTAACTGGGAGTTCCAGTACATGCAGGAGCCGGATGTGATGCTCAAGTACAGCATTGCCTTGTCCTGGGTGATCTACATGGGTCTGCTGACCATCCAGCTGCTGAGCAAGGAGTAAGTAGATAGTACTCCCCAAAAAAGAAAAGATAATCACTTGAAGAGTTAACTTTCAGTGCGCGGTATCACTACTGGTACATAGATGGCACCACGATAGTCCTGCTCACCATGCTGCTGATCATTTCGTGGTACAAGAAACTCTGGATCATGTACATGTCGGATGCGGATGTGTCCTCTCCAAATGGCCGGATAAGTGGGCTCCTCTTCCGCCTTTCAGATGAGATGCAGCGGAATGTGGTCATCCGGATAGTGATATACTTCCTCATCATTTTCTCCTACATTGCCGTGGCCATAATGCAAGTGCTGGGCTGCAGCAATGACGATGACTATGCGGATCTGGAGCCAGGTTTCGAGGAGCGGGTGCAGTGCTTCCATCCTTGGGTGAGAAAGTCCCTTGAAATGTATTGTAGTTTACAATTTACATTGTCTGTTTTATTTGCAGATCCTAACCAATTGCATGACCCTGATTATTGGCATCTCGTTTTTGTTCACCCGGATACCTTTTATTGTCAAATCCTGTTTCTCCGCCTTGATAATGATTGCCTATTCAGGGCTGGTGATCTTTGAATTCAACTTTATATACGCCCTCAGTCCATCCACAAATGTCAACTTTAATGCCAAATATTCGCACACGCTGCTGATGCTAATCACATTGGGCATTTTTCATCTGATGGAGCGCCAAACGGAGTTTATTGCGAAAGTGGATTACAAGTAATTGCTATAACTCTCTACCTTATAATAAATAAATATAAAAATTATTTAATTTAACAGCTGGAAAAGACAACTACTGAAAAAGCAGGAAGATGCCTTGATCACCAATGACACCATTAAAGTACTACTCACCAATATTTTGCCCACGCATGTTGGTAGGTTTTTATCTTTATATATGTAATCCAAACTAATCCATTTAATTGTCTTTTTAGCCGACTTTTATCTGTCCAACCAACTGCAGAATGAACTCTACTACGAGGAGTACGACAATGTGGCCGTAATGTTTGCCTCGATCAAAAACTTCGACACCGACAAGATCGGACTGCGAGTGCTCAACGAGATTATCTGCGACTTTGACGATGTGGTGAGTAGCGAGTAATGAGTATTGAGTTGTCTGTCAACAGTTCGGGTGGATCCCCAACAGAATATGCCTAAATTTAGTAACTTCGTAACTTGGTATTGCAATCTTATCAAAAGAAGTGCGTTGTATATCCAAAGTGTGAGTTAAATTAGATAATAGTGAATATTTATCTAGTCTTTCAAGATAAATGGTACTGGGTTTTCATTAGCAGTAATACTGTTAAATACATTTTAGTAATAGGTACTACAAATAAATAACACTGTAATTAGTAAAGGTGTTTTAATCTAGAACTTAAAATACCTGTAAATAAGGTTCATCTAACTTTCATTCTTTTGAGGTAAATGGTAGCTGAAGGGAATCAATAAAACCAACAAACTGTACTGCAAAAGTAATGCTACAAATAAATATTACTGTCATAAGTAAAGGTATTTTTCTTGTTTTAAAGACACTTCATAAAACATGTTTTATTTAAACGCATTTTTCAAATAAGCATGTAAAATCCATTAACTTTTATAAAGACTTAAAATTTAACATTTATTAAAAAGAGATTACTGTTATCAGAATTAAACGAAACTAAATTCAAATAATGTTGTTTAATTGAATTTGGCTGTGCGTTAATTATTCAATTTTAGTGGACAGTTTTATAAGAACAGACTATTTTGATTTTTGGGCTTACAGCTAAAAATATCAGATTATACATGTAGTTAGTTAGTTTTACTGTATATGATGGCTTAAAGACTTAACTTATTAATTTAAACATTTGTTCCCTTCCTCAGCTAAACAAGTACTCGCAGAGCCTACGCGTGGAGAAGATCAAGGTGGCCAACTGGACGTACATGGCGGCCTGTGGTCTGGACGTTTCCCGTTCGGAGCAGGTGAATGCCCCTCAGATGAAGTTCCACAACTTGTCCCTGATGCCGAATGGACGGAGGAGTCGCTACGATGGAGCCCGCAGTTCAAACACAGACGGAGTGCAGCGGGTGCCGTACGGAAATGGGAGCAACATAGCCCTGGATCTCGACTTGGAACGCGGACAGTACGAGGGCAATGTGGTTACGAGTGCGGGACCACGGATCAGTGCCACCCCGAATGGGAGCAGTAGCAACGAGGTGGTGCGGGTGATGGCCGAGTTTGCCCTGGATCTGATGCGGACCATGAGGCGTTTCAATACGGAGAACATGCAGACGGAGTACGAGGGCAGCACCGACTATGGCATGCTGAGGATTGGCATTTCGCATGGCAGGGCGATGGCCGGCGTGGTGGGCATTTCGAAGCCGCACTACGACATCTGGGGCAATCCCGTGAATATGGCCTCGCGCATGGACTCCACCGGAGTGCCCGGCCAAATACAGGTCACCGAAAACACCGCCCTGAAGTTGCGCGAGTTCAACATCCAGTGCAACTATCGGGGCATGACCTTCGTCAAGGGGCGAGGCAACATACCAACCTACATCATCGGCACCGACAGCGATTACCAATTCCTGCCGCATCGCCCGAACATGGCAAAAAAAGAAGACTAGCTGAATTTACCAGAGATTAGACCTAAGACATCCCTGTACATAGCATAGATTTAACTTGTGCGCATTTAATGGTTAGTTAGATCTGTGGTAGTTTTTAACTTAAATCCATTTTGAATCACTGAAAGTAATAAAAATTACCATTAAATGTGCTCAGGAATTTAAAAAAAATCATGTATAAAACAGTACCTTTTTATAAAGTTAGATCAAAGGAAATTTTTTAATTTATATCAAATTTTAAAAGTTTAAGAAAGGTTTGAAACTACCATTAAATGTGTGCAATGTCAAAAATGTATATACATTCCACTGACTTGACAAGTCTACTATTCATTATAATTAATAACATTAATTATTACTTCACCTGTGGTAATTTTTCATCAAACCCAACTTTGGAATACTGAAAGACGTTAAGTAAATAAAATTACCATTAAATGTGCTCAAAAATAAACAAACAGTTTATTGACTTAAGTAAATAGAGACTCTGAACTGAAAACTTTATTTATTTGTAGCATACTTTCAGGCTGCAATTTTGTTTCTGGCATAGCATACTTTTGGGATGCCGCTTTTACTTCTGCATAGCATACTTTTAGGCATTATTGTTCTCGTATTGTTGTTTTTGTTGTTGTTGTAATGGTTTTTGTTGTTGTTGTAATGGTTTTTGTTGTTGTAATGGTTTTTGTTGTTGTTGTAATAGTTTTTGTTGTTATTGTAATGGTTTTTGTTGTCGTAATTGTTTTTGTTGTTGTTGTAATTGTTTTTGTTGTTGTTGTAATTGTTTTTGTTGTTGTTGTAATTGTTCTTGTTGTTGTTGTAATTGTTTTTGTTGTTGTTGTAATTGTTTTTGTTGTAATCTTTTGTGTTGTGACGGCTGCCTAAAAGTATGCTATGCTAAAATATAATTTGCAGCCCAAGAGTATGCCCAATATTAGATACAGCCCAAACATATGCTACACATTTAAAAAATAAAATCTAAAAGTAATAGTTTTACCCCAAATTTTAAGCGCTGTTAACTAAAATTAAAACGAGACTTTACAAGCATAAGTTAGCCATGTAAGGTACCATTTATTTTCTGGAATATTTTGCATCAGGACCAAAAAATGTAACATCAGCAGAACCATAGCAATGATACTGATTTATCTGCCAGGGAAACCTAGAATAAAAAAAAATAATTAAATGTATGTTATTTTCCAAGCTTTTTATTAAAACTGAAAACCTTCAGGTAATTTAAACTTAAATACAAAATTTAAAAAAAATGTTATCGTTATATATATGTATATATATATTAAAATAGAAATATATACAAATTAATAAAATAATGATTTTAACTGTTTTTCTCTAAAGGGATAGACAACATTTTCTGAATCTTTATTTCTTGTTTTCCTTTCTGTTCTTGATATAAAAACACTGTCCTTTGCCTCACCAGTCTGCATTCAAAAGTTGTAAAACAAAATAGTTTTGACTGAATCAGAAATTGCTTAGCCTGAGCTTATACCAAACATTTAAATGGAAAATCCTTATTATCAAGAGGACGTAGTGGCCTACCGCTCGCTAAGCACGATTAAGGGTCTGGAATGGCGCCACTTGAAGGTGAATGCTGACTTATTCTTTATAGTTTACTTGCTGGGAGCTGTACATATCGCCATCTTTCCAAACTCAGACGAAATGCCACAGTCTGCGCCTGAATATGGCCTACTCTCGAGCTTGGGAACTGTTAATGCTATCGAATGTGGGTCGCTTTGTTTGGACAATTGAGCTCTTGATGATCATTCATGTGATACTCTTGCTCTCCACAGTTAAGGTGGGCTTATCGGACATATTGTGTAATAAGTCTCCTTTTGAAATGGTTGCTTTCTTTTTATTTTACAGAATGTAGTATTGGTATCATTGCTGCCCTATTTGGTGATTATGTTCTTCACTCCATTTATTATGCTTGGCAGCATGCAGGATAACGTTGGGTTCGTCTTCAATGCGGTTGTTTCCTGGGTGATGGCATTTGCGCTAGTTCTAATGGGTGGGCTCTTTTGGTGAGAGTTTTTTACTGTCTTGCTAAACGTATGTGTCCCTTAATCGCAGACATCCTCTCTGATCTTTTGGGAGCTGTGCATCAGGGCTCCACTTATCCCATTGTGCCCTGCTACGATCATGTGGTGCTGGTCTGTGTCTACATGAACTTACCCATCGCATTCTTCAAAGGCTACTGCGTTTATATCCTGGGCCTGGCCGTTTCCCTAGTGTACTTTGGCTACGTTTTAACTATGCAATTCCTCAACGATAAGGTTTCGGCCGCCCTGCTCGGCTCCTATGCGATTTACCTATTCATCTTGAACCTGATATATTCTTACTTCACCCTGATTCGGGCATACGACTTAAGACGCGCAATACTGAGTCGCTACCAGTTGGTATACCAAAACATTGTCTATCAGGTAGCTAAATTCTTTTTCAGTGTTTGTAGAATTAATATCCTGTGATTATTTCGTGTTGCCTAGACGGTATTAAAAAAGGAGAATGCTCTACTAGAGTCAATCCTACCACGCAGAATGGTACGCACCCTGCAGAAGGAAATCTGCAGCCGCATCGAGGATCAAAACCAACATATCAGTAGCACAAGGTGCGTAAGCCTCTTTATAATTGAATCTACACTAAATAATGTTACTTCGTTTCAAAGGGTTTCGATTTTCAAATTTTTATGTATTAATTAGGTTTGCCAAACTTCAGTAAAGTAAATTTGGTAAAGTCATACAGTCTGTTACGCACCAGATTCCTTTCATGCAATACTCATATTTTGGCCAATTTTGTTCAGATTGACTTTAAATTTTAGAAATTGGCAAAAACAATTTTGTAATTTCAAAGTAGGAAAGTTATATGATTTTAAGATATATTCGTAAGCCCTTAATAAAATAATGTTCCTATTTATATAGAAAGCTATTTTTGGAGCCTTACCCGGAGGTGTCCATTTTGGTGGCCGACATGGTAAACTACACGCATTTGACAACGACTTTGGAGGCGCCGCAACTTGTGGGGATCCTGCACGACCTGTTCGTGAACTTTGACCTGGCTGCCGATCGCAATCGGGCGATGCGGATCAAGTTCCTGGGCGATGCCTACAACTGTGTGGCGGGCATTCCCAATTACTTTCCCGCCCACGCCGCCTGCTGCGTGGACCAAGCGCTGGACATGATCCACATCACGCAGGATCTGAGCAATCGGCGCGATCTGGCGATCAATCTGCGGATTGGTGTGCACTCGGGCGAGGTGCTCGCTGGCATCATTGGGCATGCCAAGTGGCAGTTCGACATCTGGTCCAAGGATGTGGATATCACCAATCGGCTGGAGGCATCTGGACTGCCGGGCATGGTCCACGTCTCCCAGAGGACTCTAAACATGCTGGACGACGACTATGTGTTCATTGAGGGCACCCAGGAGGCCAAGGATGATGTGGTACTGCAGGAAGCGGGTATTCGCACCTATCTGGTCAGCAGTCGCATTGCCGATCTCGAGGAGCCCGGAGAACTGGACAACCGGATTAGCAACGCCTCGATAAATTCCTGCCACTTGAGCCACGACGGCTACTACGAGGAGATCCAGATCAAGGCGCAGCGCCAGATGATGAGGGAGGTGGAGCACACGGCACTGGGCTCCGGTTTCACCGAGTGCCGCAGGGACAGGTTCACCCAGAAGCGGCCCTTCAGCGAGGAGCTCATGTTCAATGCCCGCATCTACTTCATCTTGGGTGTGTTCCGCAGCTGGCGACGGGAGTGGGCCTTTCACAATCTTCCCGATCTGATGATGAAGTACACCATGTTGTGGGTGTTCTTTGCTGGACTGGCTATCCTCTTCATGAACTGGATCGTAATGTAGGTTTCTGTAAGTTGATAGAGAGAAGTAATTATTAGTCTTCTCTTCTCACCCATAAAGAGCAAAATACTCTGACCTCTTTGTCATGCTGGGAGTCCTTATCGCCCTGTTCATCCTGTGTTTCCTGGCCGGCTACAAGAAACTCAGCCTGCAGCGCAGGCAACTCACGCCCATGTCGCAGCCCTCGTTTGTCCTCAGCCGCTGGCTGTTAAGGATCTCGGAACACATGGAGGAGACGCTCTTTGTTAGGGTTCCTGTGGTGGTTGTGGTGCTGCTCCTCCTCTACGTAATGTCCTCGCTGGCAGTGGTGCGTATTTTCTATTACACTAGACAAGGAAGCGTTATGATTACAAATAATCATAATTCTTTATAAAAAAAAAAGACAAATAGAAAAATTATAATTTCTTTTGCTTAAAAAAAAATTACAAACAAAAATTAGTTTTATATGCAAAGTAAGATTCTAATTAATATTTAAGGTTATGTTTGCATTTAATAACTTTTTTTAAATTTTTTTTTTTTTTTTTTGAAAATGTTATTTGATTGTTTTATTGCTTTTAAAGAAAATAAGATACATTAAAATATTAAAAATTTTGTTTTGTAAATAAAGAAATTGCCCAAAGAGAGTCAATTTGGCGTTTATATTATGTTTTCATTGAAAAACACAGTGCCTGCTCTAAACTATAATAATAATTGATTGTTTTTCCTTTATAGTTCTCCTGTGATGTGGCCAAACTGGAGCTGGAGATCATTGAAGCCCACTTGTACAACGAAATGTCCTATGCGGAATGCTTTTCGCCTTGGGTAGGTTGGGTTTTGTAAAACGTCCATTTATAAAGTGTATATTAATGGCACCTGCAGACGGTGACTTACTGTGTGGTTATCGTGCTCAGCCTGTTGTTCGTCATCATGGGCTGTCCGCTGATAATCAAGACGATGGTGGGTCTACTCATACTCGGCCTCCACTTGGGCACGGTTCACTTCCACTACGGGTTCGCCTTCGAGAGGTCGGAGAGCACGGATCTGGGCCTGAAAGCGGACTACGCGCACACCTGGTACCTGGTGGCGTTCTTTATCGTTTTGGTTATCCGGGAGCGTCACATCAACTACCTGAAGAAGGTGGCCTACTTGTGGGTGAGCTGAGGTGTGCTACAAACCATCAACTTATCCATCCGCTTCAGCATGCGCGTCTGCTACGAGGACACACACACGCAGACGCAGCACAAGCTGCGCTCCATCAAGATCATCATGGCCAACATCCTGCCCTTCCACGTGGCCGAGGTGTTCAGGGTGCGGCGACCCACCGATCAGCTCTACTCCGAAAACTTCGCCAAGGTGGCCGTGATGTTCGCCTCCATCGAGAACTTCAGTGCGGGCACAATGGGTCTGCGCATCCTGCACGAGATCATCTGCTGCTTCGACGACCTCCTGGTCAGCTACCAGCTGAGGTACAAGGTCGAGAAGATCAAGGTGATGGGCTGGACCTACATGGTGGCCTGTGGCCTCGAGACCGACCACTTCACCGACTTCTCGATCGACATTCCTGTGCGGCCGCCCGAAACAGAATCGGAAGCGAGACGCAGATCCAGCGGTGAGTATCTGTTTGAATATAGCTTTGCTTTTAAAACCTTAAGCAGTTACCCACATTTGAGATATTCCACATTTTTTGCATACTCTTACCCCATAAAGAATATAAATTCTATTATAACAAGACAAGTCAACATTAAAAGACCAGTTTGTCCGTCTGTTTCTTTACATTTTCATAGCTAAGTCTAAAAGCTAGAGACATGAAGCTTTCGCATTCACTTGTTTTTTAGAGTTTTGATCAAAAAACTTTTTTGCCCGTTTCTCATTTTTATATTAGGGGTAACACCATCATTTTTTTCGAAATTTGATCCAACCAAAAATTTCTGTGAATGCCAGTTTGTTGGAAATTTTATGACGAATTCAACGAGGTATGGCATTCCAAAATTGAACCATTATAATTTGTAGCTTCGATCAAAAAACTGCCATTTTAACTCATTTTTTTGGAGGTCGCCACCTTTCGCATTTTTTGTAAGGGGTACCATCATCATTTTTTTCGAAAATTGATCCAATCCAACATTTTTGAGCTGTGAATGCCAGTTTGTGGAAAATTTTATGACGAATTCAAAGAGGTATGGCATTCCAAAATTGAACCATTATAATTTATAGTTTCGATCAAAAAACTGAAATTTTAACTCATATTTTGGAGGTCGCCATCTTTAGCATTTTTTGTAAGGGGTACCCCTTATAATTTTTTTCGAAAATTGATCCAATCCAAAATTTTTGAGCTTTGAATGCCAGTTTGTGGAAAATTTTATAACGAATTCAAAGAGGTGTAACATTCCAATACTAAACCATTATTTCCTAAAGTTTTGATAAAAAAAACCAAAATTTTAACTGATTCGCCAATGTTTTATAATGGGTAACTAATACTTTTGATCCGAATCAAAATTGTTCAGCTTTGAATGCCAATCAATTTGCTCTGAGGGGTAACCCCTTGAGTGATCTTTAGTTACTTATCAATATATTTCTCATTTCTAGTGCTGACTGTTCATTTTGGAAGTACCGAAGATGATGAAATTAGCGGAGATACCGTCAGCCAGCCATATGCCCAAGTGCAAGATGCCGCCGTCCTGGTGATGACCGAATTTGCTTTGGATCTACTGCGCATCATGCAAGATATTCGCTATAACCACGCGTTTTCCGAGTATAATTCGATTTTCGACGGCAGCTTAAAGATAGGTGGGTTGCCCTTTGGGTTGCCATAGGCTATATCTTTGCTATCCTTAATCCTTTCCCGGATAATCAGGCATCTCCCATGGACCCGTGATGGCCGGCGTGGTTGGACTCTCGAAGCCGCACTACGACATCTGGGGTCACACCGTCAACATGGCCTCTCGGATGACCTCCACTGGACTGCCGCACAACATCCAGGTGACGAGGCACACGGCCAAGGTGCTGCGACAGTTCAACATACGCTGCAATTACCGGGGTCACACGGAGGTCAAGGGAGTGGGCAAGGTGCCCACCTATCTGGTGGAACTGAACAAGGACATGTCCTTCCACGACCACGATCAAGTGAGCATGAGCATGATGAGCTCAAAGGGAATGACCATCGAAACTGTGCCACTAACATTTGCGCCGGACTATGTGGCTTCCACGTCGGAGGATGAGTCCGAGGAGGTGGCTGGAGAGGATCTGGACGAAGTGGAGGAGGAGGAGGGAGGCCTCTTGTATTAATATATATTTATTTAAGCATATATGTAACACACACATAGATAGAGATGTATTCGTACAGTTCAAAACAAATGTTCTTCATGAGGTTAAATACGTTACGATTTGAGCACACGCTGATCCAAGTGCACCATATATATACGCATGTGGATAGTCCGGAATTATACATAGTCATTAAGTTATGTACTTGCTACAGATAATACAGGCATCGTCAACAACAAAAGCACCATCCGTGTGATCAGGTCATCGGTTTCGTTTGGTTTTGTGCACAGTTTTTTTTTTTGAGCTTAAGTAAGCATTGCAGCTGATTTTTGGGGGTCCTTACTCATTGCCGGAACTGGAGCTAAGCAGAGCCGTGTCCTCGGGAATGGGCTTTCGTTTGTAGGCGGGCTCGGTGGCCAGATAGACAACCAGAGCCCCAAAGACCACATACAGTACGCCAATCACATTGGCCAGCACACCAGCAGTGGGCAGCGTGGAATACGGGGGATTTGTGCTGGGTAAAATTGCTTTGATTATCGAGTCTAGCTACCTTAATGCTACCTTAGACTCACATGGCAAAGATGGCCTTCTCGGTGAGTCCCATCAGGGCACTGGCGATGGCCAGAACGAAGCCAAACAGACCGAAGTAGATGTGCAGCGGCATCAAGGCGATCCTGTAGTTCTCCCTCAGTCCCGGCGCCAAAAACGCCACAAATCCGGCCACATACTGCAGCGAGAAGACAATGACCGCCGACAAGCCCAGCCAAGAGTGCAGCGAATACAGATTGGGAATGGGCGGACTGGCCAAATTGTGCGAATCGAAGACAGTCTTCAGAGCAATCACCGTCAGAATAAAGGCAGCCATGTGGATGCCAGCGTGGGTGAGCTTCAGTGTCTTCTTGCGCGTGGTGCGGAAACCACGATAGATCAGTATGGCTGTGGGATTACCGAAAAAAAAAAAGAAAACATAAGTTAAGCTATGCAATGGGAGTGGATTAGTGGCACCTTTTCCGCCGCCTCTACTCACAGTTGCCATACAGATAGATAAACCCAATGGTCATGAACAGCGGATGCCAGTTGAACTCCAACTTGGGATTGGAGCTGCCGCCCAGTCCGCCAAAGTGCTGGCCAATCCAGGTGCCCACCAGGACGATCATCGTCAGACCGCACAGCTGGGTCAGCACATACAGAACCTTGAAGTTGATCAGCGCCGGATCCATGTTGGCTTTGCCGCTGCCTGCAAATTTCAGCAAAAGCGGTTGGGATGAGTTAAAAATAGAAACCATTACGCATGGCACGCATTTTTAGCGATCTAATCGCTGAACTCATTCAAGGGTAGAGATATTGGCGATATATATACATATATACATGTGTTCCAAACTCTTAGTTTATGGTTACTTGTAAGTAAACACTCTGCATTTACGTTTTCCACCTGTCGTCTGTGCCCAAAGATTAAAATAACCCGCCCAAAAACACTTGCTGATAACATAGGAACCGCCAGAAGTTTACAAAACTTGAGGCCCATTTTTTTATAGACGAACATCTGATCCGGATTAATGGCAGCTGCATGCACTATAAAAAACAAACAGTTCCTTTGTCGCCAGCAATACGATACCGCATGTAAACAAGATCTCATCATATCGTCTGCATATAAATTTATGGGAAAAGCTAAGCCTTTTCCCCGCCACTCGGACACACCCATTAGGCCTAATTTGCCTAATTTTTGGGTAAACATCTACGTTTGTTTACCCAGCATTAATTTTCGCCAGCGCAGAGTTCTTCCGTTTACACTTTATCTGTCTGGCAGGCGCAACTTTTTTATCAGACTGTTCTCCAGATAGTCTCACCATCTGATATTAAATCGCTTTAAATAGCATCGGACATGTACCTTCTGTTTCGATGTTGTAGCATGGCACATTAAATAAATTAAAAATTCTTTTCATTCAACTAGTGAAAGTTTATGTACATACATTTGATTGTTTCCAATTTTAGTTTGGTGAATGATATTAATAGTTGACTTTAAATTCTGATTTTGCCAAACAAAACATTTATAAACTGATTGAAGACCTAAAAAAATTAGTTTTCGTAAATATAAAATACATTGTCTTAGCTGAATAATTTGCCATATATAAAAGCATAGGGAGAAATATAAATTCTACAGTTCCATATGGTCAAATCATAGCATATGGACAAAATAAATAAATCTCGAACCTCTAAAAAAAGAGATTTTTTAAAATCAAAAGTGGAAAGCATTACCCAGTTTTAATTTGCTGAAGTTATATCTAATTGATTTAATGTCTTTAATATCTTGATTTCGGAAACTTTAGTCATTTAAATCTTATAAAGAGTTTAAACAAATATTTATTCAAAAATCACCTAAACTTGGGTGCAGATGCACTCGATAAGGGTTCGCTATCTTTTGCCCTAATTGCAGTTTGGTATGCAAATGATGTTTTAATTTCGACGAGCAAACTGCAAATAAGCCAGACTACGAAGTGTAAGCCTGTAAATTGACTGATAAGTGGGCCAGAGACATTTGTAGCTGCCAGCCAAGTCGTAATTATAAATGCGTGTAAATGGCAGTAGCCACGCGTCCCCCCAAGTTGTTCAATGAATTCGACTGCTCTACATTTATTATTTTTTTGGACTCTGGGTTCGACGCTGGGCGAGTGAAATTAATTGGCATATATATAGATTAGTTGTGATTATGATTGTTAATTATTATTAATTATTAGGGTTAAGTGGGCGTGCCAGAGACGAGCTGGCCAGCAAAGCGTTGCAGCAGATCGTGCGCAAAATTTGAAAGAAACGATCTATAGATACTCGTGCAGACTAGAGGCGCACCGAAAGTAAAACTGACTGCTTTGGAAAAGCGTGTAAAATCGAAGACAGCAAAAGTAAAACAAATAAAGGCTGCAATAACTAAAGTGAAATTCAGCTAGTTGCCGATCGTGAGTGAGTCGATGGTGAAAAGCGGGGAGGTACTCTTGCTGTGCGTTTTGCTTTTGCTTTGGCTCTTGCTTAAACTTTTACTAAAACCAAACACTCAAGTGGTGGCAGGTTGTTGGTTTTACTAGGCACTAATCAAACTTGAAGCCAAAATCCAATGCCATTCACTACTGTCTACCTGTTGTGGTTAATGTTGGTGATGTTGCTGTTGCTGTTGCTGTCGGTGTTGCTGTCGGTGTGGCCAATTCAATGCCAGCAATGGTTGTTGCAGGTTGCACTTGTTCTGCTGTTGCAGGTGCCACAGGTGTTGCCGCTTTTGCTATTGTCAACTCCACTGGCTTTTCCCCATTGGACACGGCGATCACCGTTGTGGTGGTGGACACCGTGGTGGGGGACTCCTCCGGAATGGCTGCTGCCACCTGGACGACTCCACCTTCCGGCTTCGTCGCCTGTTGCTCCACGTCCGTATCCTTCGACATTGTCTGTGCTCCCTGATTAATCAATATTTCACAAACAGTTCACCACAAAATCACACATGCAAAATGCTGACCAGCGTTAATTGCCCTAGGACACAGCACTACACTAGCTACCAACTACACTGGTTAACACGACACACTAGTCACCAAAAAGAACCGAACACCTCGACGTGCAATGCGCAACTGAATTTAAAGTTTTTCAGTCGCCGCCCGGCGGCAGTGGTTATAGAAAAAGCTTTTTTGCCCACACGAATTTCTCGCATGCGATAATCGCACATATTGTTCACTTCGCGATGGATAATTGTTTGATTTTTGATGCGGATTCCGAGTCGGATTCGAATTCCAGTGGGGTTTGCGGGTGCCAAGAAATGCTGGTTAGTATGCCAGACCAGGTGGTTTGTTTCTGATTGGGAAGGGGGTGCATTCATTACTCTTTTTGTTATGCATTTTGCATGCCTCTCTGGTCTATTCGAACTAATCTGAATGAGCCGCATTTCAATTGAGACTTTGACTTTATGTTCTATGCATAATAATGAAATAATGCAGTTGGTATCCTATTTGTCAAACTAAAATTAAAAAAGGGAGAAGTTGGTATAGAACCTAACAAAGAGTATATTATTTTAAAAAAATGTATTAAAAGGGATTTCTGTTTGGAAAAGTGCTTAAATGAAAGTTGTCCTGTATCCCTTTATTCTTTGTACTTTTGGACAACAACATTAACCAAAATTACAATTTTTTTAATCTAGAAAGATCTTTAACTTTAAAACAGTGTAGGTACTTTCGTCGTAACGAAGTTTTACTGTATGTGCATTTAGACTCACCCAGTGAGAACAACATGGCGTATACTTAATTGATGCTTCACGCTTCTCAGATAATGATTGTATTATTGTGAATACCGCTTTTGCGTATCTTTATCACCCAATTAGGAGTCTTTAAAACAATGACTCTTGGGTTTTTCACAATTTTCGCTTTATTTTCAGCTGATACGCACTACGCACTTTACTTGTTGAACAAACTGCTTAAAATGCAGGAAGCTGTGCCTTCCATATGGAGCAAAAAAGGAAAAGCCGTGAAAATTCTGCAAAGGCTGTGTGGGCGTCAAAAGCCCTGGATTCCCTTCCACTCCCCCCCATTTCTTGGCCCTTCCATTTGGCATTTTCATGAGCTTTTCATTGGAAGCTCAGAATGGTAAAACCGTAAGAAGCATGGAAACAAACTTTCCAACACACACACGCACACCACTAAATTATAAACCACTTGTTGGATATTAATAAAAAGCCGCAACCAAAAGTTCTATTTATTTGTTAACTACTCTTAAAGACGTGGCTTAAAAACAAAGAGATGAACTTACAGATTCGATTTTAGTTTACAATCCAATTATTTATTTTAATTTGGAATAGTTCCAATATGCACACTTTTGAATGGGAAAGACAAGAACAAAAACCGCACAAACACAAAGAGATAATTTGGCAACACAAAAAAGAACCGAATGCTGTGTGATTTTAACTACGTCAGCATTATATTATTAACTAGTACAACTGAGCGGCAGGTTCATTGATATTTAATCTACTTAAACATGGCAAGGGCAAGGCCAATCTTTCACTGTCGAAGGGACTTAAAATGAAACTGGATCCGTTTAACCGCTACTTTGCTTTGTTTATGTCTGTTTACTCATTTGGAAAAGCGGGATAATCAGGGCTGCACATAATCTAAACAGGTTAAAATTGAAAATAGCTTAAGACTTATTATATAACGAAAATAGAAGCAATATTACAAATTCTTAAATTTTTGAAATAATTAAAAATATTTATGTTTATTAAATCAAGAGAAAGAATCACTGTCCAGCCCTGCCAAACACCAACTAAGCCAGTGTGACCCCCTTAACAGTTGTGAAAATGGCCTAACGCCTTTTGATTAACAGCACTTAACAGCGCAGCTTCATCAAAAAAAGCACAATTTTGAAATAATCAAATATATCACACAATAAATGCTGGCAAAATGCTCTCCAACCTGCTGGTGACCAAACAAAAAGTGGTCCTCGTGATAGGTGAGTCTTGGATAACACCCTCAATTGTCTGCCAAGTAATTCCCCTTTCCACCCAATTATAGATGAGCTAAATCGGGAGCGCATTGCCCCCAAGTTCATCGGCAGTTTGCTGCACGAACAGGGACAGGGTGCGGAAACCATCAAGACCCTGCCCACTGGGGTCACTCTGAAGCACGTGGCCACCTTCGAGGCGCTTATCACCGAGTGCTCCAACGGCAACAACAACAATAACAACACCACTCCTCAGGCGGGAGAAGCCGATCCGGGTTCTCCGAGCTCCAAATCCACCTCCTCCCCCGGCTTCAATGTCATTCTGCCCACTTTGGCCGATCTGCTGTGCTACCAGTCGCCCGCCTTCATCTTTGGCTTCCTGAATCGTCTGCGTCGCTCGGAGCATGTGCGTCGCGTGTTCCTTTGGGCCTCCCCGCAGCACCTGCAGCATCCCCATGCCGCCTACATCCTGGCCGGCTGCGAGTACCTGGCCGAGTTGGTCCTTCGCCTGGAGACGGACAAGCAGCTCTCCCTCATATCACGGAAACCAGGTGGCGGGGTGTCCAACCGGCGTTTCGCCTGTCAGGTCAGCAAAACCCAGTTCCAGGTGACCCCAATCGACGGCGGACTTCCGGCTAGTGTCTCACCCAACAAACAGGCTTCACCAGAGGTGGAGCAACAGACTCCAGAGCCCGCAAGCAGCACCTTCAAAATCGAGCTGGACGAGGATGAGGTGGTGGCCCGCAATGCACTCACCCTGCCATATGAACGGTGAGTAGACGATCTAAAATTAATTTAATTAAATTTTAAAAGTATTAAACATTTCACAAAAAAAGATGGCTAAGGTGATCTAGAACCCAGGAATGAAAAGCATTTTTGGGATTTCATTATTATGAGGTCAATAAGTGGACAATTTTGATCATTTTTTCCAATATAAAAATCATCATAGCAAAAAGTCTTAGAAAAATAAATTTTTTTTTGTATTCGTCGTACTAACAAAACATGATCTCTAATATTCCAGCACCAGCGAGCCGTCCGAAGGCAACATTATATACACGCCCGATGCCGACGACGACTTCGACGAGGAGGATCCGGACGAGGATCTGTGCATCTAGGCTGCCCGCCAGCAGCGAACGGCAGTACAAATAGCCTTGGCTTTAAGTCTACTTAAGTCTAACCTACTAAATACATCAAATACCTGGAATTCCGGCCCCAAAGTTCCGCCAAGGGGTGTGTTTTATCTCCGAAAATCAAAAACAAAAACAAGGAGCAAGCTGAATGAATCTTTGAAACGACCACACTTTAGTACACATGTAGAATTGCTCATTTATTTTGGATAACTTGATATGTGAATCAAAAAATCGAAGAAACTCTGTGAATGTACAACTGATTCCAATTGCTATCTGGTGGTGGTGGTGGTGGTGCCCTAGCTTATGACTTAGTTAAGGAATTGCGTCTAGCTAACGGTATGTACAGAGCTAGCGCTGGATTACCTCCACGATATTTGGCTGCAATCTGCGATCTTTTGGTGTCCAGTGCGTTGCGTATTTACAAGGCGTTCAAGTTCAAACCTAACCTACTTAACTACTTCAAAAATGCTATGCTCTAGTTATTGAAACAAATGAAATCGTAAATGGAGCGGCGGTGATCCGCATCCGGTCAAGATGGCGCTTAAAAGTTCACATTTATCACAACAATCTATACGAAAAAACATTGAGGAGTAAAAGGAGCTGTCAAAAAAGGGTTATTAGTGGATCGGTTTCCAAAATCCTGGCGAGTATATACACTATAGAATTAATAACAAAACTGAGGTGGCTGTTGCATGGCAATGGGCTCACTTGAGCAGGGCATCCACATCGCTCTTGGGATCGGCAGCCAGTGAACTCCACGCGGAATCGCTGCAGAGTGGCAGGGAAACTTCCGTGCTGTCCGCTGCTTCCACCACGCAACTCTCGCGCAGTTGAAAAAATTGCCCCACCAGTCGGTCTATCCAACTGTGCAGCTCCTGTCCCAGCAGCCTTCCATTTGCCAGGGATTCCCCCCTCATGGTGAACTGCTCGTCGTCGGTGTGGAGATATTGTTGCCACTCGATGGGCATCTCGAAATCCTCGGGCAAAGCCACTGCCAATCCGGCGTTCAGCTTTTCTGCTTCTGAGGATTTCTCCAGGGGAAAGCCTCTGTTGTAGGCAACTGGTGATATGAGGAACTTGAGCTGTGCATAAATAGAGTTGCGTCCTATCAACTTGGCTGTCCAGATCCCGGGTGTAATGGGATGTTTGAGCAGGGTTTTCGAATGGTTTATCACATCGCTGGTGGTGTCTTCCACATGCAGTTCATTGAAATCCTGCAGGCGACCCAGCGGATCGATCCACAGCAGGGTCAGGTTGTAGGAGTGCGAAGCGGCTCCGGAGTCTGCAGATCCCTGCAGTGTGTAGCTCAGTAGCAGTTCACTTTGGGGACCCAACAGCTTTCCAAAGTTGCGGGCCACCTGCTCCTTTTGATCAAAGTCCGTGGAGACCTCAAAGTTGCGCAATCTCTTGCTGAAGCGGGCATTCCTCGCTAGCTTTCCCTGCTGCACCGGGCGCACTCGCGTCTCCAGGTGAAGTGGCTTCCCCGATACTCCTCTCGCTCTGTAGCGCACTAGGAAACCCTTGTACTGATCCCGGTGAAGGTAGTGCGTGAGTTCTATCAGCTCCAGGGGATCCAATTTGGCCTGACGCGCGGATAGACGCATTACGCTGTCACCTATGCTCCTGGCCAAATCGTCTCCTAGGCCATGCACATCCTCATGGTGATACAGGGACTGCCAGTAGCCATGCAGATTGGCGTATTCACTAGTGTACGGCCCGTAGAGCCATTCCTCCAGCTGCAGCAGCACTGCCTGATTAATAACCGGCTCAAACTTGCGGGCAAAGAAGAGTGACTTCTGTTCCGTGGCCTGCAGCCTGGTCCAATCCTCTGGCTTGAAGTCATTCGGACTGCAGCCGCACCAGTCCACCACATGTTTGTACTGGCACTTGCAGCCCTGCTTCCGTTTCCAGTTGGTCACATGCAGATTGTTGTCCACATAGCTGGTACAGTGCTGGGTATTCCGGAGCACAGTGTGGAAAAAGGACTCCGCTGGCAGAAGAGTGTGCCGGAAGAGCTTCAGCAGAGCCTGCAGCAGCTCATCCTCCTGCTGGGGATGCGTGACGTAGGACACAAATGGTCGCGATAGCGCCACCCAGTCACTGCCTCCGTCCACTTGAATTCCCGCTGGCAACTTGCGATCTCCTATCCGCCACATGTGCGTGTCGCACTCCACGAAGGTCTTGTCCAATCCCTGCTTCTGGATGAACTTCTGCGTCTCTCGGCCGTGGCCCTTGACGAAATTCCTGCCCGGATTGGCGCTCAGGAAATTCACCAACTTGTCCAGCGTCTTCACGGGAAAATCGCTTTCGCTCAGGTTGATCACAAAGTCCCAGTGCCAATTGGATTGCAGCAGATCCTCCATGCACTGCAGCAACATGGTCAGCAGGGAGGCTCCTCCCCATATCGTAGAGAATCGCTTGCGAGCCAAACGGATATTGGGGAACTTCGACTCCAGCTCCAGCAGCTTCCGGTACAGGTAATCTTGGCGCTGAACGAGAAAACAAGGACAATTTAATTACATTTTAGTATTTACATTTGTTATAAGCATAAAACGACATTTTAAGGAACTATCTTATCAGCATTTTGTTAGCCTTTTTTAAAACTTGTTAAATTGATACTAGTTTAGAATGAAGTTTACAATACAATATATATACCTAAGCAACTGACAAACCGCCAGTGTAGATATTTTTATAAGCTTGATCATGCGACACTAAGTCTTAGTCACTTTTTTGTGGGCCAAGCAATTAGTGTACAATGTAAATTAAATGCACCGCTTTACTGTATTCAACAAGACACTTTAAGTAAGCAGTAACTATGTACACATGTAGTTCAAGGCTTTTCTGATATAGCTGTAAACCATACCATAAATAAATCAATTTCAGTGGCCAACTATTCTGGTCGGCAGTGTGTTAAATTGTGCAAATTAGCAAATTTAGCGCAATTAATTGAGCGCGCTTTAATTGCCGAGTTCCGGTCGTTAACCCACCTCGTCCACATGGATGTAGTAGACGTGCTCCGGCGCATAGAGCGCCTTCAGCAGTCGATGCACCTGACGCAGCGCTCTTCCATTGAGTGTCAGCAGAAATGCGATCCGCACGCGCTTCGCTCCATCCGGAGGAGTGGTGGCCGCCAGCTGGGCAGTGAACTCTGCAACAGAAGACAAGGATTATAATAGATATACTGGCTTTACTTATTATGCTGATTTGGCATTGAAAGTTCTTAAAAGTGATCTTAACCCTTAGCAAATAGTTATATCATTTGAAGATACAATCTAAGAACAATACTTATACAAGTGCAAATAAAAATAATTTTTCTTTAACACTGACGTGACCTAATAATAAAACAAAAAACTATGTAAAAGAAGACAGAAGTTGCACTTGCACACTATCCAGCTGATTTTGCTCTCATACTCTGCAAGATTACTTATCTTAAGATCACCTACGCTAAGCAAATAGTTATATTATTCGTAAACAACATATACAAACTATACTAAAAAATAAGTTAATAAATAAATCAGAAAGCTTTGGTACTACAAACTAAAAGGAATGTCTAGATCGACTTAACTTGACTTGATATTAAAGCAGATAAGCTGATTTTGCTCTGATAAATCTTGAATACGACTTATCTGAAGATAAATCTTGAATATAGCTTATCTAAAGATTACTTATTCTAAGACTCTTATAAATAATGAGCAAAAAATATCCCAATCCTGCTCTCTTGTAAACTAAAACCTATCCCCGCACAGTACTCACTGGCTATGCCGGTCTCGTAGATGTTCATAGCATAGAAGCCGCCACAGATCTCCTTGGCATTGCCCAGGCATTTGGTGTTGCAGCTGGAATCCGGGAGTTTGGCGGCGCTTGGGGGAGTATCAAAGCCGCAGAAGCACTCGCGACCGTATTGGACACCTGCATAGGGATAACCACTCTGCAGGCACAACTCCACACATTTGGCGGGAGAATTGGAGGTCTTGGAGCTGCTGTAGTAGCCGGCCAGAAGCCGACGATCCTTCTCGTCCTTGTAGCAGCCCAGGGACACGTTGGCCGTGTGATTGCCGGCCGGACAGCTGCTCCGTAGCTGGGTGGCATAGAAGATTCCAGCTTGAATGGAGCACGCTATGCGGGCGATATGTTCTCGGCAGTCTTTCGTTTTGGCGCGCTGCAGGGCGGAGATGGCCTCCCTGGCCAGGATGTCGCACTCCGGCTGGAAGCCCAGTTGCTGGGTGGTCAGCTTGGTCCTGCCCGGTGCCGGCTTAATCCCCTCCAGAGCTTGAGCCTGCGGTGGTCTGGTGGACACCTCAGCCGCATCGAATCCGGAGCCGGATCCGCCGCCCACAATGTCCAGGGATTTGTAGGCCAGGAACAGCTGGATGGCCACGATGAGCAGCAGGATGAGGAAAAAGGCGCGATAGCGTCGCAGCCAGCGGGTGGACACCGATTGCTCCATGGCTAGTGGTGGAATCTTCAGTGGTGGCGCTCGTCCTTCTCCTCCACCGGATTCTCTGCTGTGGCTCCTCTGTGGGTTGTAATCCGTGATTTCCAGTGGCAACGAGGCGGGGACATGTTCTGCGGTCTACTGCTGGCGGGCAATGCATCGGGATTTGTTCGACTGGCTAATTAATGGCATTTTTCCGCGGAAAGGAAAACTCGCCCCCGCACTTGCGTTTCGACCAGTGTGACCGCACTGCGGCGAGCTTAAAAATCTTGAAGTAACATTGCTGACATGGGCGCGTTTAGCAGGATTTTGGATTAAATTATTATTTATGAAATAAATTAAATGAATTATTCCAAAACATTTTGTTAAACATACTCATTATTTAAATTTATACTGACTCAAATAAATTAGAGTAAAATATGTTTGTTTTAAATTTACATTGAGCTGGCTTTAATACAAATTAATAAGAGCTTAAACCAATCCAGACGTGACGATTTTATTATATACATATTTTGGCAAGAAAGAAAAGATTTTATTACGAAAAATATTGTTTAAAGTTTTATTGTGCTTTTCTTTTCTTTCTTTTTTAATTATTTGATTTATTAAAAAAATCCAAAAAAATTCTATAATTAATAGCAACAGCATATGAGAAATAAAATATTATTTATTTAATGCTTCTCTATGCAGTCTATTTTCTCATCTGATTCGTAATTTAATTTGACTTTGGTTCTGATCAATTTAAGTAACTTTTTTTTACCTTCGTTCACGTCAAAATACAACTTTAAAATTTTAAATAGAAATTGGAACAAATAAAACTAAAATACTTTTTTGATTCTAACTTTGTATATAAACATACCCATAAAAAACATATATTATATTTTGCCTGAGCTTATTTAAAGTCAGTTTATGCAGAACACCGAACAAAAATTTGCCCTTTTAAAATATTGTATTTAACTTTATAAAATCTGTGCGAAAAAAAGGTAGTGATCACAAAAAATTAATACTGTGATTTCTTGTGACTTGAAGAAAATCACTGCAACGACGTTGCTGAACGCACTCCCAGCTGTGCTTAGTGACTGTGACTATCAAAAGTGCTGTAGGGCGCACCCAGCAGTGAACATATGAAAAACACAGCCGGGAAAAGAAATTAAAACACAGCCGGGAAAAGAAATTAATATTGATATTTCTAAGAATAATGGTGGATCCGAACAGAAAAATTAACCGCCTGGTCGACAGGGACGTCAACTTCCTGGAGTCATGTGAACAGGAGTTTGCGGGTCGCTTCACAGACGACGATCCCGAGTTTATGGCGCACTGCAGCAAACCTTTGCCGGAACCGCCAATTGTGGAGAATTGGATGGGTGGAGGAGGAGGTGGTGGAGGAGGTGGTGGTTTTGCGGGCGGTGGAGGAGGAGGTGGCCACCACTCGTACAATCGATACAATGGTCATCGTAGGGGAGGCGGCGATCGAGGATGGCAGCGACGAGGAGGAGCTGGTTACCACAATAACCAGGACAGAGGATTCAGGGGTGAGTCCCCAGGGAGCTCCATACCTAAATATAGCTTGCTAACCCACTTCTATACACAGACAATCGCCGCAACAACAGATACGATCCCAGAGAGCGACGGGATCGGGATCGCTATGAAGGAGGCAGAGAATCCGGTCCCGGATTTGGCGGACAAAAGCGCTCCCATGATCATAACCCGCGCAGTGACCCACCCAACAATGAGCCACCCATGAAGGTCAGACGCGACTATGGAAACTTTGTGCCTGCATCCAAGGATTAGTTAGCAAAATAAGCAAATACTCTTCATATTACACTCAAAATTATTCACATTTACGTTTGTTTAATTTGACTTATAGACTAAAGACTAAACCCTGTAAATTCCGTTTAAACGGCCGACTCGGAGATGTCCTTTTGTTCCCGATCCTCGCCTGCTGCCGACATGCCCACGCCCATGGCGCTAAATAGATTGGAAACGGGTCCAGCGCCGCCAATCTGCGATTGATAGCTGTCCATCATGTTGCGTAGGGTGTTCACATTGATGTTGATGGGCTCAAAGTCCTCGATGTCATCGAAATCCTCTTCGTCCGCCTGCGGAGGAGCCTTCTTCTTGCCATGAAACGATTTGCCCACGCTGGTTTGGGCCAACTCCCTGTCCATCTGTTCCATATAGGACTGTATCTGTCGGTCGAGGGGAAAAACACTGCCTCCACCGGAGAGCGCATTCAGATTCCTCTCCATGTCGTCCTCATCGGCATAGTCGCTCATCTCCGAAGTGGAGTCCCAGTTGTCCTCGGGTATGACAAAGTCCAGGAAGTTACGCACATGAGTGCTGTCAGGTTCTTCGTTTTGAATGAGTGAGTTGCGCTGGCAGGCCTTGCGCATGGAGGGATTCTTCTTGACCTTACCGCCAGTCAAACCACCTGGGGAAGTTCTGGCCTGTGGCGGTGGCTCATCATCGTCCGAGTCCAGCGGTTCCTGCTCCTCCAAGCCACGATGCTCAATGCCCTCGTAATTGGACTGCCTGTCAAGAAACTCGGACAGCTGCTTGGTGAACTCCTCGGCATTCATTTGTCCATTCGGCTTGTAGAGCTTCTTGGGTCCATAGCGATCCTGCAGCATGGAGTCCAGATCCTCGGCACTGATGTTCAGCCACTCATCCGAGTCGCTGGGCTGCAGGTTGTTCTGCTCATCGCGCAGCTCCTCTGAAGCCGACTCCGCTGGATGGAGCAACAGGTCGAGGATTTCAGCTCCAGCCTGCGAGGCTGTGCGAAAACGCTCTTGGTTGCCACGAAAATAGTCCTTGGCCTTGTTGAGCAGCTCCTGGTACTCGGCACTGCCCTCGATGTTCTTGCGGAAGTAACCCTTGGCCTGCAGACTGCGCAGATAGGCTCGCCAGGCGGGCATCTCCTCCAGCTTTTGACCCTCCACTCGCTTGGCCTGAGTGGCTAAGATTTCCAGCCCACTGGCCAGCTTTACACCCAGCAGTTGCTCCTTGTAACGCTCTGGCTCAAGTACGGGATCTGTTAGGTTCCAACCGAGTCTTCTATCGGGGAGATACTGCTGATGCGACAACATGGCATAGAGACAGCGAGTGAAACGCACATTGGTGCGCAGGCGCCTGGCCTCCGGTGGAAAGTAGCGCATGGTGCGCAATGCCTTGACATCTAGGGAGTCCCTATCGCACAAGGCCCTCACCGCCGAGGAGAGCAGCCTGGGCCGCTGCTTCAGCAACTGGGCTGCACTGTGCGGGAGTTCCAGCACCTGACGATGTATGGAGAAATGCGGCTGAGCAATCTGGTACTCCTTCAGCCGCGCATCAATGCTGGATTGGATCTCCCGCGAGCAGCGATACAGCGTGGGATTCAATCGTATACGCTGTATAGCAGTGGCCATGGTGAGTGGCTTTTCCTGGCCCGAGGAGTTCTGCAGCAGCTGCAGGCAGCCTCCTACTAGGTAGACCCTCTGCTCACAGGTCTCCGGAGAAGCCCAGTCGGGCAAGGAATCCGCTGCCTCTATTAAAAGGAATTCGCCATCAGAATCGCTGACACGGGCAATGCAATCCCCGCGAGCACGTGTGATTTCCGTGAGCAAATACACAATGAACCACTCGTCGCTGATGTTGTCACCATAGTGTGTTACGCCGTGGAAATGGGGCGGGAGGTCACCTGGGCGGGGCATGGAATGCATTAGGTATGCAGAAATACAGACTATTTATAGAACATCTCTTCTCTAGAAGAAGTGCATCATACCCAGTTCCTCCTCCTCCTCCGGATTGATTTCCTCATTCAGCAACCGCTCGTCGGCACTACCCATCCGGATTTGCAGCTGGAACTCATCCTTGTGCCATAGGTAGCTCCGTTCCATGGATTTTTCCTTCACGATGGCCGAGATTTCGGTGCGCACCTGGAGCATTAGTTTGCGCACAATCGCCTCGTCTTTCATGTTCTCGGGGATCTTGGGGAATATGTAGTACTCCACGTAGTCCTCCTCGCGGACGAACTCCAGATTATTACACCTTGGTATCTTGCTCATCCTTTGTCCTTTTTCTGTGCGTGGGAAGGGATTGCTCCTTTGGCTAAGTGATACCAGGTGCGGAAATTTAAAAGAAACCCAAATGCTTACGACCAACACTGATTTAGCACTAAAAAATCCACTTTGCCCGCTAAGTTCAAAAATGTTGTTAATTTCAAACATGTTTAAAAATTAATCTTTAATGATGACGCAAAATCAATTTGTTTTGTTCGACTTTTATAATATTATATACAATTCTAAAGAGTATGTGAAAAAATTTAATTCGGAAGAAACGATGGTTCACAACTTGAATATCCAGTTAGCGGTGACACAATCCATTACCGTTAAGTTTTATAGAATTTTCTTTCTAAAATTGAATACTATAGATACCATAGAATTCGATAGAAATCACAAATAGGAAATACTATAAAAAAAAACTTATAACAAAAAAATGGAGAATGATTCGATTCGCTTTCGAGAATTCTGATTCTATTCAAAAAATTTATTAAATATCTTTAATTAATAAATACACTTCATTGTTTACTTCATATGTATATATTATATATATTTAGAAACCTTATTTGTAAATTTTTTTTAATTTTCTTGTTAATAAAATTGGTTTCACAAAACCTAAAATTTTTAAAATTTTATTTGCTTTACTTCACAAAACAGAGACAAAATTGAAATCTATCTTTCTTTAAAAAACCTTAAACTCTAACAATTTCGTTTTGTTTGCCATTCCTAACACCTTTATTGAAAGAAAATAAAGCCAAATATTGATCCACAATCACTTAAAAGTGCTCTTAATATATCCACTAGGCAATCCCCAATGTGTTTACTTATTAAACACCCACTTCACTCAGATCCAGATAGGTTTAGTGCTTTTTGTAAAAATGGTTTACTTACTCATCATTGCGGCATTCCAATCTAGTTGTTGTAATTAGAATCGTCGCAGAGATTGTCACTTTGCCCAACTCCCATTGACTTTCGAAAGTTGATAGGCAAACAAACAACAAAAAGATATAAAACGCTATCTAAAGTCTGCTATTTTGGGGCTTTTATGACTGTCACCAGAGGAGCTTGCAATCAGACAATTGAAGATTCTCGTGGGAGTTGGACCTAAACTAAGAAAATAAAAAAAACGAAAGCGATTACGTCATCATGTTTTGGAAGAAACTACTAGTGAGCCTGGTATGTGTTAATGTATTTAAGAAAGGGATAAGCTAAAGGCTTTTTGTTATTGTCATTGAATTATGTAGTTTCAAATACTTCATTATTCCATTTAATTTTTAATAGCAAATAAATATTTGCATGAAAAAGGTATAACTAATATTTCGTATTAAATTTTTTTATTTTACTTATATTAATATTACATTTGGATTGCTATAAAATCAAATTTAAGATGACCAACAATAATTTTCAATATTTCTAATATTCTCTGTTAAAAATAGTAGGATTGTAATAATAATTAGGCTTACAAAAAAATAACTGTATTTTTCTCATTAGAATATGGTTTTTCTTAGTTGGTACACGACTTTGTTGACTTATAATTTATAAAAGAAGTAAATAATATATAATATACAAAATTTGATTTCTGTAATAGGTTTCTCATTTGATTCTTTAAACATTATAAATAGTTTTTTAATGAATATTTATCCCCCTTAGCTGCTGCTCAACGTGGTGGCTCTTTCGATGGGAGCCACTGTAACCACTCGACGTATACAGCCGCGGGAGACGAATTCCTGCGAAGGTCGCCAGAGTCCGGGGCCCATCTGCGAATCCTGCGAACTTCTGGCGACCTGTGTGCGCCACTCAAATGGCTGGGTGAACATCCCCGTGGAGTCCTGCGACGTGGCCAATGGATACTATTGTAATGCGAGGCTGGGGAGCTGCACCAACGAGACGGGACCTTGTCATCCTTTTGGCATCGAGGGCAATTTCCAGTGCACCTCGCAGGGCATTTTTCCGGATCCATACGATTGCCAGAAGTACCACATGTGCTATTTCGTGGGTGCCACTTTGGTGGCGGCTGCCGTGGATTGTGGCAACGACAAGGCCTTCGATGCGAGGACGGGTCAGTGCACTTTGACCCTGAGTGACTCGGTTTGCCTGCAGCGACAGTACTACTGCCCAAGTGCCGGACACGTGGCCCCCTGGCCCACGAATCCGAATATTTTCTACGTCTGCAAGTCGACGGTTAATCAGAACCTGAACGATACCATCGTCATCTATCCCTCGCTGCACAGGTGCAACGATGGCGAGTCCTTTGTGGACTATGTCTGCCGCAGTGGATCGAATGTCCTGCCGCCCAACACCGATGATCCATCGGTCAGCATCGAGGACCCCAATGACTCGGACTTCTCCGTGATGCCCAGCACCTGTCAGCACGTGGGTTTGATAGCCGACGGCAACGATTGCCGGAAGTACTACTACTGTTCAGCCCTAAATGGCAGCCTGCGGCATATGGATTGTCCTGAAGGCACACACTTCCGTCCGGAAATGTCCTCCTGTGTCCTGGGCACTTGCTAAAGCACACACTTTATTGTATTTTTATTTCATTCTTCTAAAGAGAAAGCTTATCCCTAAATAAACGACACACTACCCACGTATATATTTGAAAATAAAGTTATATAATTATTATAATTATATATCAGTAAATACATTTTTATAATTTCTTTGACTATATAATAGGGAAACAATTCACATGTTTTTACATGTTTTTATTAACTAAATTATAAAGTAATCAAAATCTACAAAAGTACAAATTAATTGCCAAAACAAATGTATTATTTTATAGAATCTGATATTTTTAATGCTTGTTAACAAGCGAGTTTCTTTTCAAGCAATAAATTTGTTCAGCTGTAATTTTTTCTTCAAAAAGGTTATTAACTTTTAGAATATATATTTGTAATCAACTAATTAAGTTGAAACATTCACTGCCTGATAATCTGGTCCTATATAAGAAAGTGCCGAGCAGATTAATTTAAACAATTTTCAACATGCAATCATCTCTACTGCTCGGTGTGCTTTTTGTTCTCCTTACAATAAATTTTGTCACAGGATTGGATTGTCCAGATGGCTACTATTTCAGTGAGAAAATTAAAACCTGCGTTTCTGTGGACCCCACCAGCTGTGAGAATCACCAAATCGGAAAGTGTCCAATATCTACACCTGTGAATGAGTATTGCCTTTGTAAGGACAAGTACCTTCAGATCTGGAAATGTCCCGAAGGATCCTACTTCGATGTCAATCAGTTGGCCTGCAAAATTGGAACAGTGGAGTGCCAGGAGGATGAGGATTATAAGCCATTTAAATGTCCAGATACAACGTCAAATCGCATTTTTTGCCTCTGCATAGGTGGAAAATTACGCCAAAATGAGTGCTTAACTGGATACACTTTTAGTGAAGATCAGAAACATTGCCTAAAGAACTAAAAGTGATGTTGAAGGCTTCATATAACTTTAAAATTTACTAACAAATTTTGCAGAAAATAAAGCCATGCAGAACTAGTCCTAATTGTCTCTGTTCTTTCTTGTTAATTGCTTCAACAAGCTCTTAGAATTTCATTAGATTGAATTTATTCTTGGTATTCAGTGAAGTTTATCTTTTAATTATAAAGAAACATTCTTTCAGCATTGCAATCTGCACCTATATAAAAACGGTTGAACATGTCTATTTCAAACATTTTCAACATGGAATTATCTCTACAGTTTATTTTGCTGTTGGTTTTCCTGTCATATCCATTGGGAAGTGCAAGTCTGCAGGAGTATCGATTGGATGACAGAGAAAAATCCTGTCCAGATGATTACTACTTCAATGAAACAATCAAAACTTGCGTTTCTACAGACATCACTAACTGCACCAATTACGTAATCAGCAAGTGTCCGATAACTACAGCTGTGGATGAGTATTGCCTTTGCAAGAATAACTATCTACAGATAATGAAATGTCCCGAAGCAACCTACTTCGATGCCAATAGCTTGATTTGCAGAATTGGAACTGTAGAGTGCCAGGAGGAATATGAGCCATTTCCATGTCCCAATGTAACTTCAACCGATGTCTTTTGCCTCTGCATAGATGGTAAATTCCGTCAAAATAGTTGCCCAAATGGATATACCTTCAATGCCGAGCACAAACTTTGCTTGAAGTCTGGTTCTGGTGACCTATCCGATTTGGAGCCCTCTTCTGAAAAGTGTCAGAGATATGGTTTATTTGGAGACCCCACTGATTGTTCTGGATATTATCATTGCCGCGCTAAAGGCAGCGACATTCAGTATTCCAGATGCTTGGGAGGAACCATCTTTAGTCTTACTTCCTTTGGATGCGTTTCTGGAACTTGTTAATCTTTGTTCTAAATCTTTAAAATAAAATCGTTTGAATTTTATATATAAAACAAAGCTCAACAACCATTTTTTAATTAGCTAAATATATTGAAACCTAAAAAAATGATTTCCTTAGGTTTTTTTGAAGATCGTTTATAGTGATATCGGTTCCTGGAATTTGTTCTTCGCTCACATTTTCATCCATTGCATTATTTAATTTAAATATTAAACATAAAATTTTAAATTAGTTTGATATTAATATTTTCTATTTCATTTTGTTCTCAGTGAAGTAATTTTATAAATAAAAAAAATGTATATACAACACCAAAAATAAGATTACTATTGATTTTTTTGAATGTCGCTAATAACAATTACGGTCCCTTGAATTTGTTCTTACTTATACTTTTCTAACTAAAATTATCAATGTGTCACTTGTTTATTGCAAAAATAATAAATTTTCAAGTTGAAAAATATCATATAATTTTAGCTATACCTATAGGTATTTTACTTGATATAGGATACATTACCAAATAGATACTATGGTTCTACGAGCTTATCTATTTAATTAAGCCAAAACATTTTATCTGGCTGATTGGGTAGTGCTATAAAAGAAAGTCTCCCAGTTGAAAGAACAAACAGTCGTCGAGATGAGTTCTTTACTCTCGGTTTACCTTCTCCTGCTTGCTGTGGCGATTGGATCGGCTAAAGCTGATGATAATCCCTGCCAGGATGTGCGCCTGGCCGGCTTTGTTTGCCTGAACTGCACCACTTTGGGCTACTGCATCCGCGAAGCCAGTGGGAACTGGAACACCATTTCGATGCTGGGCTGCCAGTCGGAGCACAATTTCTTCTGCAGCGATGAGGGAACCTTCGGATGCACCTGGCAGTCGCAGTGCAGGGTGCCGAAAAGAGGTCCTTTCCACTGCCAGCAGGAGGGCCTCTTCCCCGATCCCTACGACTGCAGGAGATATCACGAGTGCAGCGATTCGGGTGTGGACACCCCTCATATCTGCTCCAATGGAACTGGCTACTCCACTCTCGGCGAGTCATGCGTCCTGCCCCGGGAAAGTGAACAGTGCACGGAGGAGCAGTTCACCTGCACTCGATCCGGACAAGTCGGTGGCTGGGCGGCGGACAATCGGTACTTCTATGTCTGCATTGGTGACACCGACGACTCCGCCAGCTCCTTGTATCCACTGATGATGAAGTGCCGTGATGGTTACCTTTTCAACGGCTACAGTTGTGCTCCTGCCAGTGGTTTCAAAAATATGGGATCGGATGTCGAGGAGCCTAGCAAATGCGTTGACAAGACCAGATACGAATGTCCTTTCCCAACATCAGAGATTCAATACTGCAAATGCGTCGAGGGAGAACAGCAGGTTATTATCTGTCCCACAGGTTTCCACTTCGATACCAGAATCATGACCTGTGTGTCTGAAAGGATATATCAGTGCAAGGACTTCGAGGTTCTTGCCTGCCCCAATAGCACCGATAAGAATGAGTACTGCGTATGCATCGAACAGGAGTTGAGGGTCTTTGATTGTCCCAAAGGACACTACTTTAACGCAGAGAGTTTGGTGTGCCAAGAAGAGTAATATGATGAATTATATAAATATAAATATATTTTGAAGCCCCAATGCTGGTGCAATTGTCTTTTTGTTTACTGAATATAGGGGACTTTTCAGAAGATAGTTTAAATAATAAATAATAAATTGTCATTGTCTTAAATTTTACGGTTTAGGGTTTTTGCTAATTGTTAGAAAAAGTTACTTTTGATATTTCAAAACTACTTTTTGTTGCTTTTCAAAAAAAAACAAATGCCCCGGTAAGTAACTAACGCATAACTTTTTAGTATTTTTGCATTGTAAAAATAAATAAATAAAAATATATTTAAATGTATATATTTATATCCTATTGTTATGCCATCAATGCCGTTTTAATTAATTCCCCAGCACAACATTTTGAGCAATCACCAAATTTTACTTTGACCCAATAACGAAAACAATTCAATGCGAATCTTAGAGCTAATGAAGTGGAGCGATCCCTAGTCGTCGCACTCCCTGACCACGGGATGCAGGACGATCGAGGCTCCATTGCAGCCCGTCCGGTCCGAGATGAAGTCGTGGAAGTTGCTCTCCAGCGCCCACATGAATCGCTTGTGTCCCGGCAGGACCTGGGTGGAGAGGCGGCAGTCGCCACCGCGCTGCACCTCCTGCAGATTGGCGGCCTTGAAGCAGGTCTCCGAGTCCCACAGGTATATATCATTCTCGCCCTTGTAGCGGAAGAAGAGGGAGGTGCCTCCGTCGGCTCCCAGGAGCACAGCCTGTTTCCCGTAGGGCTTGGGACCCACATCGATGATGGAACCCGCTCCCTGACCCACTCGCAAGTACTCGCCCTTTATGGAGTACAGTCGCGGTGAGCTGAGGTAGCTGAAAAACAGGGTGGAGGTTCCATCGGGCTTCGAGGTAAGGGCCACGTACAGGACATCGCTGGTGGGAGCGGTGGCCTTCGGAAGGACAATGCGGTACGACTTGTTGCCGGTGATGTCGTACACCAGGATACTGCGCGCTCCGGCATCAGCCACATATCTATATTTGGAAATAAGACCAATTATTGATAAGATATAATATTTCCAATTGGGTAATTCGTTTGTAATTGGTTGCAGAAAGATATAAGAGCCACACTTCTTAGAACTACTAATGAAGATATGGAGTTTTTTTGTGTTACTGATTATTATTGATAATTATATATGCTAAGTTTATAATTGAATTTGAGATGAAAGAGCTTAGTGACACAAAAGGATCTGGTTGGTTAAATATCTTATTTTGATTCCATACAAATAAACATGTTATTTCATTTAAATACGTTAGGTGTAATTATTATTATATGTTAATGTTTTTTGTTGCTTTTTTTTCATTCTAAGCTAATTTGTGGTGATAAAGCTGTTTTAATTTGTTTCAATTTAAAACATAAATTAATCCACGTGGTTGAATATCTCAGTATAATTCCCCGCCATATTATGTATGATAATTATTTAGATAGAAAGTGATATTTCTAGTAGATAACTGTTTATTTGTGAAACTTTTGTTATAAATTAATTGTACAAAAATTTTCCTTAAAAGTTGGGAAACGTTTAAATATATGTTAGGGTTTTTTACATGAATGAATATAACATGACAGACATTGTGTTTCAAGGCTTAAATGCCCGAAAATGAAATAATATTTATTATATGAACACAAAAGAAATTTTGTAAATAGATTGTGGGATTATTTATGACTTTAAACAGATTTTAAAGGGTTTTTAAATACATAATTGATTCGAACTGATATTTAATGAGTACAGAGATTAAATGCCCGAAAATGGAAGTATAATGTAACATATATGAACAAAAATGTAATAAAAGAGTGTTTGTTCATTACCCTTCTCCACAAGACACTTTAAATTCCTAACGGCATAAAAATGAAAATAAGTGCTATAACTCACACGAATGGCTTATTGTCCTTGGAGTAGTCAACGACAATGAACTGCAGGCGGCTCTCGGAGGTGACCAGGTCACTCAGGTCGATGCTCTTGACCACCTTGTTGTTGGCCGTGTTTATGGCCACGATCTTGGGACTGCACCTCCTGATGGGCTGCTCCAAGGTGTTGACAATGCCCACGTCCAAGGCCCACAAAAGTCCCTACAACACGAAGAAAAACAATCATTAATTGCTATCAATTGACGGTTTGTATTCATTGCTTTTAATGTTTTCATTTGACCTGACTGTTAATTGAAAATTTCACACTCGTAGCAATAAAATGAATATCAGCAAAAAGCACTGAATGGAAAATTGCGCAAATAAATAAATACAGTTGCGATATTTGTTTGCTGCTGGTGATTGTTATTGCTATGTCGACTCTTGTGTAAATAAAAGAAATGATTTGCATAAATGCAGCTAAACGAGAATGGCACATTAATGAGAACGAATTGACGGCGATAATAATTGAAGGAAATTATTAACTTGCAGTTATGCTGCGCGAATTGCAAGTAGGTCAGATATTGTTTTCAGTATGTAAACATGTAAATATTTTGTTATATCTTCATCATTGGCTTTCAAGCTCTCACTTAAATTTTTGCGTTTGCAAAGAACATTTAATATTTAAATTGACAACCATTTAAGTTTCAGAGCTGTAAACTGCAATCGAAATACACAAAACTTGATGACATCGCATGTGGCAAACAAATTATTTCTGAGAACTTTTCACTGCATTTACATGGCATTTTTCAGCTGCAGCTCGTGGCCTTTTATAATATTCCATTTACATATACACTTTTTCACCCCGTTTATCCGTTTATACAGTCTCTTCAGTTGTTCCGGCACCAATTGCCAGGCATGAATTTCATTTGAAGCACTTTGTTTTTGCCGTTCCGTTTATTTGATTAAAAAAGCAATTTTTGGTCGACAGCAAGGATGGCCAGTTAAATAGACTGCACTGCAGGGTGTTAATCGAAAAAAAATACCTAGGAAATATTTTTATAATTACGTTTTCTAGCCAATGTTATATATATTTTTTAATTTATCAAGCACTTTAAACATATAATAATCCCTGATATTATTTATAATATATGATAATGAAATTGGATAGGTTACAATTACTTGTTTTAATGAAAATATATTATTTTTTAATTTATCAAATACCATGTATATTTATATATACCAGCAATACTTCAAAGAAGTTTAAAAATATTAAATTTAATTGCATATATAAATTATTTGCCAATAAAAATATTTTCTTTTTTAAATTTATCAAATGCCTAATATTTAAATATATACTAAGCAATACTTGGACAGGCTTAAAAGGATGAAAATATGTTTTATAAAAAATCTTTAATAAGCCTTGAGTACCTCTGTTACCCTTTCCAACGCCCACGATAAAAATATGAAAAAAACATTTAAAAACCATTAAAGGGAAGTGCCACAAAAGGACAGCAAAAAAAAAGAAATAGCAATCCGTAATTAAAGGCAGAAATTGCAGTTTGGATAAGACAACTTGACTGCGGCTACAAAAAAGTAAGTAAACGACTGTACAGGCGTTAATTGCACTCACATTCGGATCGACGGCAATGTCGACGACGGACTGAAGGGCCTGGCAGTTGCCCTCCTCCTGGATGGCCCAGCAGGGATATGGGGCTATCTTGGTCAGGCACTCGCCCTTCTTCAGGTTGACCTTGCCGAGGGTGAAGGGCACCCCCTGCTTATACCTTGGCAAGGCCACAAAGGCCGAATCCCGCTGCAGTTGAGCCCGGGTCACAATCACATTTCTGGGCACATATCTGCCCGACTGAACGTATATATTCTTGGTGGATTCACAGGGCCAGTGGAGACTGCTTCCACTCAGCTGAAAGGTTAATTCACTTAGCGGATTCTTGTCGCACTTGGTTCCCCCAATGGAGTTGGAGGCATCTGCCGAACCAGCTTCATCAGTGGACGAACTGTATGCGCCCCAAACCACGGATGCATAAACTATAAGCAACAGCAATTGCAGCTGCGACATTTTCGCTGGTTTCCTTCGGGGTAACTCAGCCACAACTACGTATATATATATTGTATAGATTCAGCACTTGGAAAGCCACGTTTGGCCAGAATAATAAAACTGTCTGAGCGCCAGCCCAACTTGCATTTATATATAAGAGCCGATGATTTCTGCAGCCATCCAAGTTGGAGCGTGTTGCAGCAAGGTCGTTAGATGGTAAAACACGGGGAGGGGGGGAAACAAGTGTCTGTCTGGAGCGGAATGGAATGGTCACCACCCAGCCAGCACGTCTGGCCTACGCCGGAAATCGACCAGACCTCTAAGCCCAACTGCTTCTCTCGGTTTCTAAGCAATGCGGAAGCCCGCACGGAAAACAGTTTCACATTTAACCCTCTCAAAGTGCATTATGAGATGAGTTAAATATAAAATGTTTTCTATATGCGGTATATTTAATAGATTAGCAATGCTTTACTTCTTGTTTCTTTTTAAGTTTAAAATAAAAAGCAAAATAATATTTGTTCTTAAGCTTTTTAAATTTAATATTACTTATTACTTAATTTTTAAAATTTATTCTTGATTTTCTACATTTTTACATTAAAATGTAAATTTGATATATATATATATATATATACATATATTAATCTACTTTATCTTATTTATCTAAACGCTTCTTTCTAACTCTTCATAATCAGTCACTTTCACCTCCTTGAAATAAATGGGTTAAATGTGGAAATTGTTTCTGTCAACCACCGATCATTTGTGCAACCAGAGGGAAACGCAAGTTTTCACCCTTTGGCAGGCAAAGTTCAGGGGTCAACAGGCGAAACAGTTGCCGCTGCCAAAGTGGCCCAAAAGTTCGCTATCAATATCAATGCTGACGTCTGTGACCTGTATCTGTGACCGAGAGAAAGAAAGTTTCCAGTTGCTTGGTTCGTGCTAGCAGCTATTTCGGGGCTGACAAAAACATCTGCCATTTGTTAGCCCGCCTGCAGCTATCAGTTTTTTGCGAGGGGCAAAGGAGAAAGTTGTGGGGAAAGGGGTGCCCCGTGCGCTGATAAGATTGCAAGTCAAACGGAGAATCAATAAAAAGCCCCCCATCGGAGTGAATCACACAGAAGAGTTTCTAAACAATCTGTCTTAAATTGATTTCACTTCTATTTTAAGATAAATGAGAATGTGCAATTTTATCTTAGTCATTGGCTCTTAAAAGGCACTCCAAATCGAGTGGAATCAAGTCGGGGGTATAGCTCAGGGGTAGAGCATTCGACTGCAGATCGAGAGGTCCCCGGTTCAAATCCGGGTGCCCCCTGGAACCCAATTTTTTTTTATTGGCTTCTTAGCCCGCTCAGTGGATAAAGTCAGTTTTCAGGGCGGGGGGCTTACATTAAAGGTGTGCCCGCCAGACATATGGACAATGACCTCGTAAAGAACCCACGCATCGAATAATAACAAATAAAAAATGCGTTGACACATTTGTGTGGGCGGATGGTGGATTCCGTGTCCAGAAGGTCCTTTGTTTGTCCTCCGACAGTTTTTATTTCAGAGTCGGAGCAGCAGCACGTGCATCGAATTATGGCCAGCACTCGCACTCTCGGTCTCCATTAAATCGCAAAAAGTTTAATCTGCTTAAAGCAAAAATGAAATGACCAAAGGCTGGTCAACATTTTGATAAGCCCCAGTTAACCCTTTTCATTTGTTGGGGGTGGCACTTGGCTTCCGCATGGCTGCGATTGATTCATCCCGACCCCGGACTGTCTATTATGGCAACTTACATGCAGATTGAATTTTGGCCAAATCCATTTAAATAAATTGAGTTCCCCCTCTGATCGTAATCTCCGAATTTATATAGCACACACATGCCCAAAAACAGGCTGATGTGATATATGTGTGGGCGGCATTGTCAGTCAATGGAATCGGCACCAACCGAGCAGTAGATAAATATTTATGTGCTTCAATATAAATAAAACAAAAATATCAAAATGGGAAATCAGCGAGGTATCAGAGTATTCGCTCTCTTAAAAAAAAGGCTACGGCTTATTTTTGTTATTAATATGCAATGCAATGCTTTAAAAAGAGACCAAAACGCTATTTAAATTAAAATGGCTCTTAAGCTTAGTAACAAAAAAAAATGTTATTTATATTTGATTTAAATTTATTTCGTTATTAACCTTTGAAGACGAGTTTTTATGTTTTAATAGTTATTATAAAGTTTTGTTAAATCAAAAAAAGCAGTTAAATCAAGAATATAAAATAAATTAAAATTTAACATAAATCATTACAGTTTTTGTAGCTTCAGTCAACAATTAAAGTACCCAAATACCCAAAAAAATATTTTTTCCTTGTTTTTGGCAGATGCGTACAAGTGGGGAATTTTTAAATGTTCAATGATGGCATTTTGCGAGAAAAAATTCAATATGGAGACCGATGAACACGTAGCAAGCTGCCGAGGGCAATTTGTCGGCAAGTCAGAAATGAAACCAACCAGCCAAATGAATTTAATTTTTGCAAAACAATTAAACAAAGCTGAGCCACTGGATAAAGGCATTAATTTATGGCAATTCATCGAACCATTTGCGCTGTTCAAAAAGTTAAGAGCCACGAAAAAGAGTGGACAACTTTAAGCAGACGTAAACAAAACTTGGCCGACGAAAGAAAGCCAGCAAAGTGAAAGCAAAGCACATAAATTAGGCGAGCAGCTAAAAGTATGGGGAGATTAAGTTGATTAGCCGGCTGATGACTTTTTAATACCCTGTAGTGCCACTGTAAGCCTCTTTATTAAATGTTTTTTGATTAATATGACTGCATGTTTGATTTGCTGGCCGAAAACTTTGAGTTAAACTTGTGGGTTTTGGTTGGGTTGTAATAAAAGGTTTTGTAAAATTAAAAGGTTTACTGAATGTCTGGTTATTAGCATATATATATAATGCATTTTTAATGCACAAGTTCGTTTAACATTATTTTTGTTGTAAAACTATTTAATTCAGAGCTTGGTTTGGTGGCTTAGTTGGGATTTAATTATAATGTTTACTAATTTACCTATGGTATTTAGTAAGTTTTTACCATCTGTGGTATCCAGCTTATGCAAATAAGTTTGAAATAGGTTTTGTTTTTTATTTATGTGAAATTCCCGCTAAAAGAAAATCGCTTTTCTCAGCAAAAAATGAAAAACAGAAACCCCAGTCGGCCCATTTAGCAAAGCGAATCAAACGTGACCACAGACAATTCTTTTTTCTGCTGCTGCGGGACAAATTATTGGCTTATTTGCGTTTTCAATCGGGTTTTTATTGGCACACATACTCAATATATAAATAAAAAGGTAAACTTTGCTTGCTTTCGGGAAAGAGTGAGAGCGCGTTTTAAAGAAGTCGAACATATAAAGCTCGGTTTTGCTCATGACGCATACGCCTCGTTAAACGGGCAATAAAATGAACTGTCAATGTAATGTGTGGAAAATGGCCTGCGGCGAGATATGGGCATGCTTTTCCCGAGGACAGGGTGAATTTTCCGGCTAATGGGGGTCAGTCAGACAGTCGCCCGACTGTCTCTTATCTTTCCCCCAAAAATTTTTTTTTTGGCTGGAGGTAAGTGTTTACATAAATTATGTCAGATGAGTAGCCCGGAAATGCTTGTCATCAGTTTTTATTGCTCTATGACTCGAATAAATCACTAAGTGGGGGGTAAAAAGAGGGAAAAGCCACCCGGAATGCGGGCTTTTCGGCTGACAATTTAACATGCCACACACGTTTGTTTTGGTTTGGGGCGATTCCGGGTTGTCTGCCCATGTCTCGAGCGCTTTAACCTATTTAGGCGCCATTACGGTGATGTAAATGGCTGGTTAATTCTGCAGGAGAATCCCAAGGATGTGTAGGGAATCCTTCACTCTTTCCATCACTTTCTATGAGCCAAGTTGCGAAATCACAGTCTGAGGTTATTTTGTCACAGTCAATTAATTAGCTAAAAATATCACCGCCAATCTGAAGACACTTGTAGGAGTTCCGTACTCAATTGATTGCACTAATTGCAGTGACGTTCGTAATTTCTATTGTTAATTGAGACGAGGAAGGCGGAGAAGTGTCCTGTTTCCTTGGCCCTTTAGCGTCTTGGCAAAATTAGTGTGGCTTCTGTCCGGGAAAATGCGAAAACTGAGAAAAAAAGTTTAATATTTATGGAATATTTGTGACAAATTTTTATCTACAAATTGAAAATGCTTTTATAAATTGAGTTTTTATGAAATGCGTAACTTAAAATAATAAAATCTTATAATGCGGAATATAATCGGGATATATTATATACTTAATTTTACATTATATAATATTTTATAATACACAAATAAATTATATATATTTTTTCAAAAATATTTGTATTTAAAAATGTTAAATGTTTTTATAAATTACGACCTCATATTTTTTTGAGTTCTTCTGATTTTTTTATTTTTGTATTCAGTAAATGTATTCAGTAAAAAAATCAAAATTATAAAATCGAATTATGAAATATCTTTTTTATAAATCGGAATACATTAAGGAACATTCTGTCATTTTATGTAATTATTTTTTTATTTTAATTTAATTTTAATATATTTCGAATTATAATTAATTGGAATAAAAAAAGGGCATTATTAGTTTTGCTTAAACACTTTTTTATACAAATATTGCTTTACAGTTATGCAATGCAAAGGTAGAAAGCCAATAGAGTTCAGATCAAATTACACAAGTTCAACATGCAATTCAATTATTTTTCCAGCCATAATTAATATAGTTTTCGTACCCCCTTTTTTGTTGGTAAACTTTGGTCAAGGTTCTTTGGCTGTGCAAAAAAGTGAGTTTGAAAATTGAGAATTGGCGGCGAGGCACGTTGCCAGTGCTTCTGGTCAGATTCGATGGGTTTTGGTTTTGGTTTTAGTTGGGTTATATAAGCACGCCACTTGGCCAATTTGTGCTGTATTGTTGGAGCATAACGTGCACGTCGTCGTCGCCAGACAATTAATAATTGCTTTCACGATGAGACTGCATTTGGTGGCCCTGATCCTTGGTTTGTGTCTCACGGAATTGGCCCATTCGCAGGGCACCAAGTACGGATTGTGGACTCCGGATCGGGCCTACTCCGATTCGCAGCCCATCCAGTGGACGGGTGGTCAGTTTGAGTTCCCCTGCGCCAGCACCAAGTCGCTGTTCAAGAGTTCCGGAAAGTTTATACCCAAGAATGTGATTGCCACGAGGGCCCAGCTCATCGGGGATACCATCTATTTAGCACTGCCGCGTTATAGGAAGGGAGTTCCGGCCACTTTGGTCAAGACCAATGTGAAACCGGGCACCTGTGCCACCACCTTTAAGCCCTATCCCTGCTGGGATCTCCAGGAGGAGGGCAACTGCAAAGCGCTGCAGTCGGTGGTGGATCTGGTGGTGGATCAGAACGAGGTGCTCTGGGTCCTCGACACGGGCATTGTGAACACATTGGAGACCCCGGTGCGCAAGTGTCCGCCCAAAGTGGTGGCCATGTCGGTGAAGACCGGCAAGGTGTTGAAAACAGTCTCCCTCGAGGGCCTCACTTCCAGCAGCTCTCGTCTGCAATACCTGGTGGTGGACTATGCCCCGGATGGCGGTTGCTTTGTGTACGTCAGCGATGCCGCCAATCGAGCCATCATAGTGTACAACCTGCAGGCGGATCGGGGATTCAGGGTGGTGCTGCCCAAGGCCGTCACCGCAGGCTGTCGCTCGAGGGATGTCCTCTACATAGCTCTCATCCGCCGGGACTGCGGCTCCACGGAGCTGTACTTCACCTACCTGAGCACCAGCAAGCTTTTCTCCCTCAAAACGGAGTATCTGCGCAGTGGAGTGGCCGATGGACGCATTCTGGGTGAGTCTAGCTTACATATTTATGACTAGAAAAACACATCATCAGCATTCCTTTTTCATACTCATGCATAAAGTATAAATAAAAGTATACTATTTAAGTCGTTAGTCTAGAAACGGAATACAACATTTAAAAGATAATTTCAAATATTGTAGATTTTCCAAAAAGTTGTATTTAAAAAAAAAAACAAATGACATTTTTACTCTTTGAATTTTGTTATTTAATAAAACTATATAGTATTTTATAAGACCTAAGGGTGCTTTGATAAAAACTATATAGTAAGTTTAAAAAGTGTAAGAATTTGATGAGTTACAATTTATTTATTAATTTAAATCTATTTAAATTCTAATTGTAGATCTCGGCAAGAAGCCCAGTCGCATGGTCATCATTGGCACGGACAATGGCTCGGCGATTTTCTTCCGCAACGAGGGCGATGCGGAGGTGTACCGATGGGACACCAACTCCACGTTCGCCGAGGCCAACTTTAAGCCTGTTTACCGCAGTCAGACCTGCCAGCTGGTGACCCATGCGGTGCCCGATTACAAGCGGAACACGATGCGAGTGCTGCAGAGCAATTTCCCCGATTACATGCAGAATCGCGTTGGCTGCGGGGCCATCCAGCAGTTGGGTCTCATGCAGGGCTGCTGGTAACTCAGTCAGTCGCCACTTTCCGACCCACCCACTTCCATCCCCATCAAGTCCAGTATCCAGCCCGAAAAAAACTGAAAATGAAACTGCAACTGAAACTGAAACTGAAACTAGCCATTGCAGTTAGATTGGCAATAGCCCAGAATCAGATGGTGTCTATTTTCGGATGGGCGAGTGAAGTTCGTATCTGGTATTGGCATTGTGTACATAAACTAACGACTTTGGTCGCCCTCGTTGTTATCTAAGCTTAGCAAATAAACATTTTACTTTCGTACTGAACGAGAGCAGTAAATATTTGGTGTTTTTTTTTTAGATGGTGTGTCACCGAAATTTTCCAAGACATTAAAAAGGGCATTTAGTGCTTTTGGCGTTTTAAAGTTAGTGTAAACCAATAGCAGGGATAAATAGAACTTAGGTGCATACTTATTTAAATAATTATATTTATATCTACAATAAAAAAACATAAAAAATAAATTATGCAGTTAGGTCTTAAAGTTGCCTAGATTCATGCATTAAATTAAAATTAATGATTTCGTTGCAAAAAACATTTAATTCAATGAGGCTAATTTATGACCTTTGTTTGTGAAAATTCTTCCTTCTCTGACATTTTATATATTGAACATAATATAATGTTTTCATCAACAATAAACATAAATTGTGCAACAAAGAACTAAAGCTTCATAGAATCATTCAATTTATAAAAGGCTGTTTAATGAATTCGTTGTAAAATCATAAGTATTATTAAATGTAGCTGATTTCTAGGAAATACATTTTTTTTTACATTCCCTTTGTCTCTCATAATTTTACCTGACCCTTTTCTGTGACAATAATTCCTTCTCCTTCAGTTATATATATTGAGAAAAACAGAGACATAAATTAAGCTAATTGGATGTCTTCTTGCTTAAGTACTCCACTTTCCCTGATTGCAGTGTCGTTTCCATGTCTCTTTGGAGTTTTCCCTGGCGAACCAATTTCGCCACCTGGAGAAGTTGGGGAAGTTGGTGAGTGTGGAAATTGCCCGGAGAAGTGTTAATTGGAAGATGCCTGATAAATTGAACAGCGTCCTTTGCGTTGGCTTCCGATTCTGATTTCGATTCCGAGTTTCGATTCCGTCGGGGAAGAACAGCCGACGAGCGATATATAATTTCAATTAATCAGCAGATTCACAGCCCTTGTCTATGGGCTTCGGCTGCGACCTTTGACCCCCCGGGGGCGCTGCGTTAAGGCTTCGTGGCTTCGTGGCATCGTGTTAATTACGCCCACTCGCAGTCTGGAGTGGATCACGCTGCAACGCATGATGGCCCTGGCCCCCAATAAATGTGCCAGTGCCACACAAGTGTGCTCCAAAAATACCAAATACCAAACCAACCAAACGGAATAAAAGTCACTCGAACAAACTTCAATCCCTCGCGATTTTGGTGGGAGTGGGAGCAGCTGCCACCGAACAAAAGGCACGATAAACTTGTCTCCACCCGCTTGATTTACCAATGCTAAAACGTGGGCGAATTGTCCAAAAAAGAGTTGTCCGGAAAAAGGTTTATATATCATGAGCCAAATAAAAAGCAAAAGCTAAAATAAAAACCAAAACAAAGCGGAGATATCATACAAAAAGCAAAACAAGTTTTGGGTTGACAAATAAAAACATTCAACTAATTGGTCTGTTGGTCAAGTAAAAGGGTATTATATTTCATATTATTTTTTGTGCATTTTTAGAGTACTAAATTTGTTTGGACCAACAAAATGTAAGCCAGAGCAAAAATGGAAAGCAAGAAGTGAAAGGGTTGAGTTTGCCCAAAAAAAAAAGAAGGAAATTTGCCTAATTGTGTCTGAAGTGGGAGATTATTTTCGAGTTGAAATTCCCAAAGGTCTGCCCCATAATTGTGTTGATGTGAATATGACAGTTTAAACTTGTATTTGAATAACTTCAAACTCCTTCGTTTTACGCCGAATTCAATGAATGAAAAGCCTTTCCCAAGGGGCATCACAAATTATGCCCTTTGATGTGACAAAAAACATAATAAATATATTTTTCCTGGAAAAAGCCAAAAGCAAAGATAACCGAAGCCCGCAGACAGACAAACAATTTTGATGCCTTCTGTGTCAAAAACACAGAAACGAATGTTGCAAAAGTCAGTCAAAGAAACGTCTGGAACGAAAGCATCAGGCCCGACAAGAATGATAAACGATTTTCCGCTGCACAGGTTTTTCCATCTCCTGGAAAACGGAATGTGATGTAATTAAATTATGTATTTTAATTTTTCCTGTACTTTCAAAAGGTGTGCAGCCAAATGGAAAGTCCTTAAAGTCCTTTAAATTTTCGTACTACACTTATTTAGGCAGCGCAAGTTAAGCTTGCCTGAATAAAATTTTCATTGGCTTTTGCGGACATTCCTGAGATGTCTAAAGCCACTTTTAAGCCAAGGCCCTGGATAAATCAACTTCAAGCCACACGAGATTGACAGAGCCGAGTTCCTTTTCAACGCCGCCTTGCCGCCCAAACTAGCTGAGTGACTGGGGACTGTCAAAATGCCACCACCACCTCGAACACAAAGGACCTCCGGCTCCCAAAGGATCCCAGGGATCCAAACTACTGTTTGACGCCCACTTGAAATGGGTTTGACAGGGGAATGCCAGTCTCATCTTCCCTCGAATGCCTCGACTTCTTTTGTATAGTATGCCAGCGCCTGAATTGGACAAAACATCCAAAGGCACCACTTCGCTGCTTAATCGAAATGCGAACGAAATGTCGAACGAGAGCCGAAACTCTAGTGGAAAATTGCAAATGAAAGCGTGAACACGTTGCGCAAATAAATCTGTTAACAAAATATCAACAACTTCCGCCGCCGGCAGCTGTGTCATCGATGGGAGACTTTAAAGTATTTCGACCAGATAGTTCGTGTGGCCCAAGGTGATGGCTTAAATGTTCACTGAAAAATAATTTTTAAGAATGTAAAATTTAAAATTTGATATATATGCTGTTAAGGATTACAGAAAAATTTGCAAAGTATTAATGGAAAGTGTTTGGAAATTTTTTTTTATTTTTTATAAAAATTAAAAAACTAAGGCCCTACTTCTTTGTGATCTATAATTGCACTTTAAGTTTGTTGTACTAGATGTGCCTCGTTGAGTAAATTCTGTGAATTGTATGATATATTTTTCACAAACCAATTTTGAAAATTAATCCAATACAATATATTAATTATATTTGAAAGATTTAAATGTAAGAAAAGGAAAGGCATTTATAATAAACTTATAAAACATCGCATAAATTTTAAACAACCAATAATATAATAGAATTTGGTATAACAATCTACTAAATTACTCTAACTAATATTTAAGTTAATAGTCATGATTTTTAGGTGTAAAAGAATATTGAACTTGCATTTTCTAGGTGTATGAGTTTCGCACGTCTCGTGGCGTTTTCGCATTTCCATGTGGATAGAGATTGAGGGGATTATCGCCGAGGGGTCTTCAAAAGCTGCCCGCAACGAAGTCGTTGCCTGTGGTTGGGCCATGGATGCGGAAGCTTTTCGGGTTCCGTGCCTGTCAAGTCAGCATTTCCTGCTGCCCACTTCTCCCAAAATCCCCACTTTTCCCCAAATTTTCTTGAGCCTTCCATTTCCCGCTAACATGCCAACGTATCTCCATCCAAATTTCCAATGACAGAACAAGTGACTGTGCGGACTGGACAGGCGACGTCTAAGTGCTATCGGATATAGTTGGGCCACTCAACGACGCTCCTCCGGGGGCGAGCTTTAATGCAAAGTAGCTAACTGGTTTAGAGACACGCCCCTGGCATGTGTGTCTTTCTGACAGGGTAGTGGAAAATGGCCGAAACACATGCTGAAAATGGGTGCCAAACGACTTCCGACCAGGCTTATCTCGAATGGGTCACGTGCTAGCAGAAAAAATTAACAAGAAAGGACACGTGGAAAAATGAAAATAATTTGAGACATTTTTAAATGAATAAAATTTCATACATTTTTTCATGCAAGCATTTTGTAAAGATATTTTAATAAATTAATCGTGGCTAAGTTTATAAAAAAGAAAAATTAATTGGCAAAAAGAAAGGAAGGTTGAAAATTAACTTTACCTACAACTTCTAAAACATTTATATTTTAAATATTTCAAAAAGAAATGTATAATTAACCATGACCTCGAACTTGATATTTATATTTTTATATATATTTTTTTAATAGTGAAAAGTATTTTAGAAAATGATTTACAATTTTTAATTTTAATTAAATAAAAATACTTGTATTTCCATAATATTGAGTATTAATTAATTTTGGATTACATTCCAGGAAAGAATATTTAATATGTTTTCATTAATAAATCAATCTTCATTTTAAAGTAAGTTTAAAGAAAAATCTTTTTTTTCTGTGTGTCCTTTTCCTTTTTAGGCATCAAGTTTAATCGAATTTCTTTTGTGGGCTGCACGCAAATCGATGCAATTGAAAAATAATTGAACATCTCGAACGCTTATTGAATGTCATTTTGAAATTCATGGCAATGCGGATATGTGAGTGCCAGGAAAAGCAGAATGGGAGGTGTGTTATTCTGGGCTCAAGCTGGCATATCTAATGGATCTCCTCCCCATAAAGGCATTCGACATTGTCAACGCTCCGCATTCTTCATGCCATGCACGATGGCAAAAAAAAGGGAAATTATTGATTTGGTTTTAACGGCACTTAGGCCCTTATAATTGAGATCCTCGCCTTTGCCCCGCTCCTCTTTTGAGCTGAGAACGTCCTGTTCGAAATGTGACATAAATAGAAGGATGATTTGGAAAAGGGAAATCTGTGTTTTCCTTTCGGCGGGATGTTAATGCCGCCCCTCGGGGGCTCGTCATTCAGAAATCTTTTCAATTTGAAGCCAAACATGGCAGGAATATATTAAGGAAAGCCCAAAAATTGTCCTTGCAAAATTTAAAATCCCAGATTAGATTATTCTTTACAACGTCATTTTTTTATTAACTTTGACAAATGGAAAATTAAAGATATCCACGGCCAATTGTGATAAATTAAAGGAAAACTTATAGATTTAATTTTAACTGTTTTTATAAGAGTTGTTTATTTCTACAACAAATTAAGG